TGAATAGCTTGTTCGCTGGCACGCTGACTGCAAGAGCTGCTGGTGGTTTTACCATTCAGGAACAATTTCTGTATTTTTTATCATTCCTGTATTTTCTTAAAACTGCCTCTCCCATTACTGTATTGAGATGAAGTCAGAAGATCAGATACAACCTGGTACTGTTTGGTAATCATGGTGGGCAGAGACTCTCCAGCGCTCAGTGGTGACAGGCCCTTTAGAAAAGCATCTCCTGCAAGCTCAGCTCTGAGGAGTGGCCCTGGGGTGTGGGCATAGCAAGCAATGCAAAGGGGGATAAAGACAGGCTAAGAGACAAGGAGGAAGGAAGGCAGGGAGAGAATTAGGGCCCTGAAAAGAGAATAAAGACAAGGAGGTCAGTCAGAACAACAACAAAGGGTTTTAAACATGGACAAGACTTTTAAAGGTGGTGAAGTGAGAAGTGAGAAAAAAGCATGCACATCAGAGGAACCACAGAGCCCTGTGGGGCTTCTGTGATACTTGGTGTGCAATCCTGAGGGAGTCTTGAGTTTGGTGGTTTTCTTGGTCTTGGTGTTTGGTCCGTGGATCTCCTGGTAGTAGGCTGTGAAAAAACAGTCAGTGTAGTGTCATCACTAAACAAAGGAGAACAAAAATATCTGGATTTCAGTATAAATTTGTTCTTAATAAGTTAATCTACAAAGGAACCTACATGTTTGCTCTAACAACTCTTCAAGGATGGCCAGCTGTGAGGCAAAGTTAAGGTGATAGGAAATTTGGAATAGGTATTTCCTTCTGATACAAATTCCTGGTGTAGATGCGGCTGGTACAACAACTGTGCTGTTATCTCATCAGTTATAAAACAGAGGCTATCTCCTTTTTTTTGTTAATTAATTCATGAGCAAAACTCCTATTAGTTTAAACTGTAGCTTTTAAACACATAAACACTGCAGACCAAAGCAATGTTCAGAGTTTTGTCACAACAGGCCCCAGTGTTGGCAACATGTAAAACCCGTCCTTTGCTGCTTTGTACGACTGTCTTCCAAAATGGCTGTGGGTGACAAAATGCTGCTTAAGATCTAGTCTTGCATTGTGTTGTAAGTGAAACAGAGATCTATCATGTTGGCTTTATATATAAAGCATATACCCTGGATATTTTTGAACTATTTTGTTACAGGCTTGGAATTTAAGCTATGATGATACTAATGATATTTGGAAATTAAAGCTCATTACATCAGTTTTCACCACAGGAATAGAGATCACATCCTGTTAAATGTCATATGACTAATCTAATTTTTGCAAATAACCACTTAATTACAATTTCTAAATACTTTTCCATGATGGCCTGTGATGCAATAGCCATGTCTTGGTTAAGCTTGTGGGTTACATGCATTGTTTCCTGGTTATGCTTATATTAATTCAGGATTAGAGAATGGGTGAGATGGAGGGAATCCTTATCTGCTAAGTGCAAAAGGGTATTTTCTAAAAGGGTATCTGTTAAGTGGAAAAGGATATTTTGGCAAGGCAAATCAAATCTCACTCTTCTGATTCTGAAAATAAATGTTTAATATTTTTAAAAATGGATTTTCTCATGAAAGACTGAATCTTCTTAAATTCTGGTCACTGAATAGAAATTCAGATTGCAAAATTTCTGTAGTGTGTTTTCTGATGACTGCCAAGGTCAGTCTTGAAAATATGCCAAGATTTGGTTAAATATGTTTAGATTGCAGGAATTAGTTGGTTTTGCTAGGAGTTCGGGGAGAAAATGGTACTCCAGTGTTGAAGCCTGCAGAGGTTGCATTTCTGGGGAGCAAGGGGGTGGGTTTTGGTTTTCCTCTTATCAAAGAGAAAGAAATTGTTATCTAATCATTTGACTTGAGAAGCAAGGGTTTACAGAAAGCTTCCCACCCAATATCACAAGCATGGTAAAAAAATTGAAAAATGATACTTCAGAGACTATAATTGGAAAAAAAAAGTATTTTTGTATTACAGATGACTTTAATATTAGGTTGCATTCTGTCTTTTTAATTTTCGTTGTGATTGTTGTTTTGATTGTTTGGGGTTTTTTCCTCTCTTGTCTAGCATTCTACTGTTATGGCAGCATTGTTAACACTGTTTCTTAATACTGTGGGCTTTTTCTTGCATAGAGTGTATGCATACTTTTCAACATAGCTTCACCTTCTTCCTGCATTGGGATTTCAAAATCAGGATGAAGGGAGCTGCTCATCTGTTGAGCATTCCAGAATCTCAGTATGGGGTTACTGAGTAGGGATACAGTGGAAGGGGAAGGGCTAGCAGGGATCTGTAGGGCAAAGCTGGTCCTGTACAGCAGCAGCCAGAATGGTGCTTTGTGTGGTAATTTCCTATTTTTTTTTGTAATTATTAGCAGGTCTTTTTTTGTTTTGGTTGGTTTGGAGTTTTTTTGTCATCGTTTTGTTTTTTAGGGGTTTTTTTTGCCTTGCTCAGTGAGTTAGCTGTCAGTTAGGAGGAGCTCTCTTCTGTTGAAGTGTTGAGGTATTTCATTGTGGCTAAATGTAGTTAGGAATGCCCATTTTTACTCTTGTTCTGTTTTTTTACATGTTTACGCTGGTCTGCCAACTAAAATAAATGCCTATGTGTGTTTTTTTGATTGTTGACAAATACTTCCTACACAGCAAACTGGATAAAGGACGACTAGTTGGGTCATTTGAGAGGCCCCATAACATGCTCAACAATGTTTAGGTCTCCTCTGACTTCCATCTGAATTCCCCACTGCAAATCTTCCTGTGCCACAAGCACCGGTGAGCGTTGGTTTCAGCAAGCAGTGCTTATCCTGGCAGCAGTCCCTGAAGTTGGCACTGTGACAGCAGTGATGGCCAGCAAAGCAGCTGCTGCACTGAAGTGCTCTGAGAATTGCAGGTGGCTGTGGAGGAGCCACGTGTAAAATAATGTCAGCTCTGCAGCAGCACCAGCGATATCCTACACTCCAGGAAGGACTCAAAAGTTGACCTCCCCACCAAACAAGTGGTGATCTTTGCTCATCTTCTACATCCTCAAATGTGGCAGCATTTAGATCTTTATTACAGTTGCAGACCACCTGGAGTGGCTGCCAGCTGAAGAGGTGTGGGTGCTTGTCTATCAACTGCAAGGGATTTCAGTACCTCCATTCATAGATGCTTTCTGGCCTTTAAGGGGATGAGTGCAAGTTTGTTTCGCTCCAGTGTACATAAGTAACTAATGGTGATCTCAGGCAGCCACCTTCTACTGGGAGAGGTGAAACCAGGAAATGCCTTTCCTTTTGGTCAGTCTTTATTTTTTTTCCCCTTTCTGTTCTCACATAGTAATAAGGTCCGGTGTGGGATCCGCATTTGGGTCTCATAGCTGTTATTGTGATAATAAGGGCCGGAATGATCACTAACCAAATGGTCACCAAAAAAAAAAATCTCTTCTTAAAGGAAGCAGTGAAAAAGCCAAACCAGGCTTTCCTATGTTTTCTAGCACGTGCCAGGACGGCTAAAGCAGGATCTTGCGTGCTGTGAGAAAAATGGTTCACCACAAACATCTTTAAAGTGACCACCTTGAGGTCTCCTCATTCTTTCTCAAGATGTTGCACAACTTAAGATGACAGTTTTACCATATTGGGCAAAGCAGTGGTTTTGTTTGTTTAGAGCATCTGAAATGTGGGTTGTGAGTGAACTGGTCACTGTTTTGGCATCCCCAGTGGTGGAATGCATATGTGGACAATCAGATCGCTCAGAGGAAGAGGAGAATTTACTGGCATCCTTATCCACATTCCAGGGCATGCCTTTCATCTCCTCATCTTCACTGCTGTGCTGGAAGAAAAAGAGAGGGAGTAATTAATATTCTATGAATTTTAGAGACAAAGCTCGAGTGACTTTTGCTGCCTGCATCCATTGTGAGGCCTGTGAATTCCTCAAAGTTTGGGTATACCTGGTACTTGCACAGCTCCAGTGCTGCAGGTGATGCAGCTAAGGAAAGTTTCAGCAGTTTGATACTCAGGCTTAGGTCTTGTTTTGTTTTGTTTTTTTTTCTATACAGTATTCAAGAATATGCATTCGTGGTTTGTGGCCTGTCCATCCTAGTGGAATATAAAAGACAGATGCATTGTATCATCCATGGTCATTGACATCTCAGCAGCAATATGTTGATTTATAGCACCTAAGGAAAGAACCTAAGATTTTTTTTCTGCTTCTTGAGAGAGGAGGGAGAAATGTTTAATCAAACTTGGAAAATTCCCTTGGATGACAGCAATAAAACTAGTCAAAAGATAGTATTCATGTCAAAGTGGTTAATGTGGTTGTCTCACCATTTTATTTATTTAAAAGAGATTGTTAAACTTGTAAGAAGATCCAAACAGTTACAGTTTTATGGAGTTTTCCTTATTAAATATAGGGGACTTATTGTTCATTTGTTTCTCAGGAGCAATGGTAGTTTATTGTGTACACTGTTAAGTTCCATGTTCACTACTTCTGGTTCCTTTATATCCAATTTTATGAATTATATGTTGACCAAGTTGTCTGTGTATGTGTGTACATACATGCTATGTAGATAACTGAACTCATTATACAGATAAATTCTTGAAAGTGGTTATTCTGATAATTGCAGGCATTAAAAACTTGAATAGATTAGAGTGCCTTAGTCCTATTTAAAGTTCACACGGGTTATACAGGCCTTTTTTTAAAATCAGCTTTTATTTGTTTTAAAAATATAAATAAGTCATAAATAGCATCTTTCAAATAGTTTAAAAACATAAGGTATACAACAATTTTTCTGGGTTCTGAAAATATTTTTTTGTTGAGTACATATTAAATAAGTTGCTATTCTGAATAGTACCATTAGAAAATTGCTTAAATTATTTCTAAATATTGAAAATATAAATAAGAAACATTAGAAATTAATAAATATTTTAAATATAATAAATAACTTCCTAGAAGGAAATAAGAATGTATATAAATGCAAACCATTGTTACTATTTCTGGTTCTTAAAACAGAACAACACTCTTGTCTGCCACATGACAGATGTGTAACAAAGGATTGTGCCTGAACTAAAACATTTAGGCACTGAAACTCCTGGTATTTTTCAAATAGCGCACAGCCCTCACTGTTTTCTCCATAAATGAAGTAAAGTCTCGGAGGATGAGGTGGGTGGTGATTTTCTCTATCCAGGTCTTACTGGACTTCAGCTTTGTGCGGAGGGATTCCTGGGTAGCTGCATCTGGGATGATCACTTCTTCGGGATTGATCACCTATGAAAAAAGACAATATTGGGGGGATCCTGGTTAAAACATTGTAATTGAGCTTGTTGGAGAGCATCAGTTTGTGTATTCCCAACCAGCTGCATATCCACGCTTTCTGTACTGCAGACAACAGCCCTCCCTGGGAGCTGTGCTTCTGTACAGCCATGCTTCTGTGGAGGGGTTTGAGCAGTGCTGATGCCTGCTACGATTCCTGTGTAAGAATCTCTGATCTATACTGTTTGCTCTGGTTTGAATGCAACGTCTGGCACTGTGGTCCAACACTGCACTGAGCAGATCAATGCACCTCTCCTGCTGTCTGTTAGTCTTGTGGGGAGGTGGGAAGGCCCTGATCGTGGTTTGCTCTAACCTGTACTGGCTGCTCCATCCTGAGTTACATAAGCTGACATTGGGAGTAAAAACTCTCATGTTTTGTAGTAGATTAACAGTTTCCAAAGATGTCAAATTTGTTTAGTTGCTTAATTCTTACTTTCCAGGCATTTAGTCACAGAGGAGACTGAGTGCCGCCAACTTTCACTGATGTGTGGGAGCACAACTACAAGATGAGTGAAAGGAGTTATGTACTTTATTATTATGCAAGCCTCCTTCTGGAACATCTTTTTTTTTGTGAAATATGAAATATAAATATTCTTTCTGTCCAGACTACTTGGAAGTGGATTCTGATCACACCCCCTGTTACTGATATACCCAGCTCCTTGTTACACTCTGTAAAAGTTTGTGTCTGGATATCCAGACAGGTATTGTCCTGGTGAATCTATCTAACCACAAGTGACAGATTCTTGCCTTAAATAGCAGATTTTTCTCTCATAAAGAAAAATTTCCAACTTGAAGACTTTTTCTCAAAAATTCTGTAGTTTCTACAAGTACAGGTTTTGCTTTTGATCACTGTGTTTAATTCTGCCTGTTTGATTACATTGATTCTACTAATTTTCCAAAAAAACCCCCCTAATTTCCCACAGTTATGAAACAAACTTTCTGCAAACTAATATATCAAGTTGGAAGCCAGTAGTCAGTTGCTGTCTTATGATGGGGCTATTATTCTCAGCTAGCACTCTGTGAAAAAAGCAGTTCAGCTTCCTTTCACTTTAAAGAATGATGGGCATAAATCAATATGTTAGGAAAGGTATGGCAAACAAACAGTGGACTTTTCACACACCAAAACTCATCTTGAAGGAAATAATACCCTGAGACTTTTGCAGTCCTTACATGGATGATTTTTACTTGGGCAAATAGATCCCCCAATGACTAAGGAAATATTTATGTTAAGGATTTTTAATGTGAGCAAGAACTGCAGGAAATAAGTGAATTTTTGAAGTGTGATCTGTCAGAGCTCTCTAAAACATGGAAAATGTCTGTCAGAAATAAGTAGCATTTAGTTTACCAAATCAAAATAGCATTTGTCAAGAAAGGGGTTTTTTTCCATGATCATTACAAGCAAAATATGTGCTTTTTAATAGGCAGCTATCTTCCTTGATTTTTAAGCTACTGATAGATATTTCAATATACCATACAGCTTGGCTTAAAAGTTTGTTTTGGAGAGTTTTAAAGATCAATACTGTTGTAAAAATGTATTTGCCTTTTTTTTTAAATGCATTTAATTGGTTTGGAAATTAGAAATTCAATAGAAAGTAGGAAGAAGAGTTGTTCTTTAAGAAAAGAAACCAAAACTTTGTAAAACCTCTAAATTAGTCATGAGTATAAGATCTGAGCATAAGGAACTGTCACCTGTTGTTTCATTGGGAAATGTTCAGCTTCACACAGCATCCTCTATCTCTGACTGCACATCAGTATTAAGCCATAACAGTTATCAGAGTGAATTTAAAACCAACTCACCATTTGTCTTATGGTATGTGCCAGGTGCTCTGTACTATAGCATAGCGATTCAAGGTTTTGGTTTTCACTAATAAAAGTTTCTTGCACGTATTTGAGGTATGTCTGAAATGTATAAAGCCCACTGGAGATTTTTTTCAAGCATTTATCCTGAAATGAGAGAAAGGTGAGAAAGTCACTTACAGCTCAAAATGCCTTGATCGCAATGCTTTGTGCAGGTTAGCAGATGATGCTTATACAGTGTGGAGGTCTGGCTAAAGTCAGCTGGAACCGGCACAAATCTTTAGGTCAACTTCCACAGGTTTTTTTAGCAGGCAAAAGTTGCCCCAGGCACGTAGGGTTAGACCAGAAAGGAGTTCCTTGCCTCATCGAAGCCGGCATGCAGACACCCGTCTTCCTCCGTCACTCTGGGGAGGTTGAGGTTGTTCTGGAGGAGCATTTCCACGCTGTTCTCGCAGACGGTGAACTTCTCGCACATCTGGGGAGAGACACCAAGAAGTTTCGGTCGCACCTTGGCCGGAGGCAGCCCCTCCCGGGCCGGGTGTGTGCGGAGTGCGAGCCCGCGGGCCGCCCGTACCCACCTTCGCATGCAGCTGAGCCGCCCGGTCGCGCAGCAGCTGCGCCAAGCCGCAGGCTGTGGGGCAGCGCCGCCGCCGCCGCCGCTCCTCCGGCTCGGCCTCCCGAGGAGTCCTGCGGCCCGGGCAGCGGGACGGTGGCGGCCCGCGGCAGCAGCAGCAGCAGCGGCAGCAGCAGGATCGGCAGCGCGGGCTGGCGGCGGCCGGAGCGGGCACGGGCACAGCCACAGCTCGGGGCGAACTTCATCGTGCGGCTTCTCGGCTCCGGCCCCGGCCCCTTCTCGTCGGCGAGGCTGGCGGGTTGAATGAGCTCCGGGCATCCCTGAACGTGTATTTATCGAGGGGGCTTCGAGATTATTCATGGCCTGGGAAAATCCGGCATGAGAACACGGAGGGGGGGGGTGTGTGCTTGAAGGAGCGTGCCGGCTTGACACTGTTGGAGAGCGGGATTGTGAAACGGGGCCGGTGGGAACATGAAGTAATCCTGCTCCGTAATTCTTTGACGGCTGGGCTGCCCCCTGCACACGCCGCCGGCTCACCTGACCCCGCGGGGTCTCGGCCGGGGCCAGAGCTGGAGCCCCCTGCCAGCTCCAGCCGCACAGAAAGGCTTGGAAATCACCTACCTATTTTACATGCGTACACTATATATGCCATATACTTTCTGGTAGTTCAATATTTTAAAATTTATATTTTGATATTTTATGTTTGTTTAAAATATATGGTTTAATGTTTTATGAATTTTGTATGATGTATATTTATCTCTGTATTTCGGCTATTTTTATTGTGTATATATATATATATATGTGTGTGTGTGTGAAACTAAATACCCCTGTTTAGGTGCAGGGTGTGTACAAGTTGTAAGTTGCCTCTTCCCCTACATATGGGTAGATTAAATATGGGTGAACTACATATGGGTAGATTAAATACATCACATTCATACACTTTAAGTGGACCAAAACCAGCTCCCACAGCTCCAGCAGGAGGGTGGCTGCAGGAAATGCCATGAAGTTCCCTGTTATCTGCTACCTTATCTTTTTCTGCCTACCTGGTCAGTGTTGCAGGAATTTTAACCTTTCAGAGGGACTCTTCACCCAGGGCAAGTGTGCTTGTTTAGATCAATCTTGTAGAATGCAGACTGAGTCAAACTGGGCAAGGCATGCTGACATTGAACTTCTGGAATGTCTCGAACTGATTTTGGCCAAACTGACTTTTTTTTTTTTTATATGAAATCAGTTCTGTTTTCTCACATAACGAAGACCAGAGTGAGACCTGATTCTCCTTTGGGAAGTGCTAACAGGCAGGTGCAGAGTGAGGAGAACAGAACATGGGGCATAAGAGAGGTGATAGACAATACAGTGACTGAACTTGGGTGTCCTCATTTGGATTCTCCCTTTTAGAAAAAACCCAGATACTTCTAATTAATTTTCAGCTTGAATTCACATTCAACTTGGATAGAGAGCCTCAGGAAAGAAGCAGGGTACTACTATTTTTTATTTAAAGTCTCGTTCTGCCAGTAACAGAAAGGGAGCTGCAGTAATTTTGCCCAGTTGAGAGATATTAGAGCTGGAACACAAGTGTAAGAGAGCAGTTTTCAACTGAAGCAATCCGTCTCTGCCGAGGTCCCTGAGCACAGCAGAGGGGATATTGCCAGAACAGTATCTGCTGTAATGTTAGCTCTCCCTTACTAAGTCTGTGGAGTTAGGCATAGAAGAAAGCATACTGCTAATGGTACATTTCACTAGTATCAATTAAAAGATCCTATTGCAATGGTACAAAAGGATTAAAACAGCCAGAACAGATGAGCTCAGTGCCTGGTATTTGCCTTCTGATGACCATCAGAGGCAGGTACAGCAGGGAAGGAACTCCTGCCTACCTCTTTTTCCATTTGCCATAGCATATGGATCTATGTGTCTCAGAGAGGGATTTCCTTCCACTGCCAGGCGACTCATAGGCTGTTCCCTGCAGACAGTCAAACTTTTCCTTTACCTAACCAAAGTGAAAATACTGCTCTTAAAATGACCAAAACTTGGTAGAAGGTTGTGTTTCCTTCAGAAATTTTTTTCAGCAGGCATTCTGTAATTGAGTCTTGTCTGTAGCTCTGTAAGTTTTAATTTTGTAACCTGATTTTATGGGTTGTCATTTTCTTACTATATCATGAAAGTATCTATTCCTTAGCAATATTCAGAGAACCTTTTTGTGATGATCACTGTTATACAGTCTTGATGATGTGTGTAGTTACATTTTAAGAGTGAAATAAAAGCAAGTTTCAACTGTTGTTCCTCACATAAAAGTCTCTAAGCCTTCAGTTATTATTTTCTCATTTTGGGGTTTTGTTTACTTTTTTATATGAATGTCCATGTGACTTTTCAGAAGTACAAAGTATACTTACATGCTCCAGTGGAAGTTGCTCATTAATGCCTTAGAAACTCCATTTGATAATCTAGGACAAAGCATAGCATTCAAGGGAAGAAGGAACTGGAATTTACACAACAGCATTAAAATACTTCTTCTATTGCTGGGGACAGTTTCTTATGGAAAATCACTTATTTAATTGGTACTGTACATAATAGAAATACTTTGCACTGATCTATCTATAATAATGGTTAAAGTTTGTGGAGTGCTTAAAGGAGGTCAATTAATCCACAGTGTACTACACTGAGTTACACTGATTTATCAGTAGTCACGTTGTTCAAAATGTATTAAGCCCTGAACAAACAGCACTTGCTCATGAGTTAGATACAGGTCAGAAGATCTGCCTGGTATTTGAAATGCATGAGTAGTATTGCTGAGACTCTAAGTTGTAGTTTCTAAATACCAAGGAATTTCTTTCCTGCATAACATCTCTGTAATGCTGCCGATTACTGTTCTTTTTATTTCTATTGCACTTCATTTCACTGTGCAGGTTATTTTTTTCCTTGGCATTTATAGTGTCAACCAGATGGCTGCATTCTGACATGTGAAACCTTCCTAAGGTGTGATTTCAGAAATTCTCAGTGTTTATCCAGCTTTTTCTTCTGTCTGAGAAATGAGAATTACTCCTGTAGGTTTCTGTAGGAGCAAAGGGTCCAGTTCTGAATGTTCTAAAAAATCTCTCCTCTCACACTTTCCACACATGAAATCGTTCCTGATTGCAGTCAAATGTGAGTTTATAGCCAGGGAGCCAATCCAGAATCATCCCATGTGTCAGTATCTTGTTTTCTAGGATCAGTGTGCAACTCACTGACCTGTTCTGGAACAGGTACTGTTTCTTCTAGAATTGCTCTGCCCGGGAGCAAGCCCATGCCACTTTTGCTCCTGATAACCTGGGAGAATTGTAGAGAGGAAGCTGTTTTCAGGAGAGATGGTTGACAACAGCATGGAAATGGTAGTGCCACTAAAGAATTCAACAAACTGCAGAGCTGTCACGGTCAAAGCTTGTCTCCCCTCTTCTGTCGGCTGTCAGGCACATGTCTGCAAGGAGCCCTACCGTGGGGCAAGGTAAAACACAGCAGCAGGAGACCTTGCTTGCTGAATGCTGTGAGTCAACTAAATGGCTACATAAATGACATTCCTAAATAGAAAAAAAAGGTATTTTAGTAAAGAGAATTACTAGGGTTACAGTATGTTCCACTTTGATTTGTGTGTTTGCTTTGATTTGTGTGTTTCTCTTTCTAATGATCTCCACTATGCTACAGTATTAAGACAAACCACTGATGCTTATTGGGGGATTATGACTTTAAATAGTACTGTTGATAGTAAGAGATGAAATACAAATGGAAATATGGTGTTCTTCTATGAAAGTGCTAGATTTTGTGTGGAAGAAAATGCCAATTGTCAGAAGACTGTTCAAGAGGGATCATGACAGTGACTGAGCAAATAACTTCCAAATGTCTTGAATGAGGTTGGAAAGCTGATGTCCCCTGACATATTTTTGGTTGAATTCCTCAAAGCTTAAAATGAGGGAACTTGAGTTCCTACAGATCTTGTAAAGAATGTCAGAGTTCTTTGTAGTGTTAAACCAAGCTGCCCTGTGCTGTATTTGAAGTGAACAGGTTGAACAGGTCAGTAATACCCTGTGTTCATGTTTCTCATAAGCAAACATTGCTTTGACAAGCTGCATGTCACTGAAGACCGATGGAGCACTTGACTAACAGCCTGTTGCTTTTGTGGCTTTGCAAGGTCTTTGGTTCTCTGTTGGTTGTTTGCCAGGGAACTGCAGAGCTCTTTGGGGATTTTTTGGTGGAAAACTGGGGATTGCTCATTTTTCTTTCCTTAAGGAAGACATGCATCATTTTTAAACAAGACTAGGTCTTATTACAATAAGACCTAATTTTCTTTCTTTGAGTACATCATATGCAAATACCATGGATTTCCTTGCCTTCAGCTAAATCAGAGGTCTAAAGGAAAAATGCTTGCTTACCTTTAAATTATGTCCTGGTTTTCAGCTTTATCTGCTTCATTTCAAGAAGAAGAATCATGCCATGGTCTTCTCTAGTCAACTTCCAGGCATGCAGGCGGGCAGTCCTAGGAGAAAGAGGTCCTAAGGATAACTGTTCTTGGGGAATATCTGAATGGTACAAGTCACTTTAAGTAGACACATCTTCAAGTCAAAATGATTTCAGGCATTTTAATGCTGGAATGGGAACATCGTGACACTTGACAGTGAAACTAGATTTGCACTAGGAGCACTTTGCTGTTGTGGCTGCACCAATAAATGGCATCAGGAAGCAATTCCACGAACTTTTCTTATGGAATGAAAGTAACTGTTGCTTTGTCTCTATCACAGTGCTGTGTGTGGTGTGGTGGGTACCTCTTCATAGGGCTACATCAGGCACCAGATCAGAGAACTGGATGAGTTAGGAATACCCCAATGGCCTTTGGTCTTTCACAAGCACACTTTCACAGTACCTGCATGCTGTTATCTGGCTTATTTGTGAGCATTACCCACTGTGGCAACACGCTGTTTTGACAAGGATCCCATTTGATGAGTATTGTGTTTTGAATTTTGTAGGGCTGTACTTCTAAAGAAAATCTCCTTCCCCTTTTAAAAATGAACTGAGTGTAAATTCCACTTGTGTTCAAGGAACCTTTTTGTTCCCTTTGAGCTCTCTAAGCATAAAAGATGAAAATTCAAAGAAATTGTATGACGAAGCAGAAAAGTGAGGGGAAGTCACGGGGGAAGATGAAGAAGCTGAAAAGAGAACACAGTGAGGAGCCTGAGTGTATGGGAGGTACTGAATGGTGTAAGTATTTATCTTTATTGTTTGC